CGTCTGCTTTTTGCGCAGGAGTTGCGGTGACATCCGGACAACGCCGAGCTCTGATGGGCGTTGATTAAAAGGATGGTTGGCACATCTTAATGGGCTAAATGCCTTGAGTTCTATCCACTATTTTTTTTTAATCTGCCAGTAAGAGTTTGCGCAGCGTTCTAACATCATCGCAACCCCTGTGCAAGAAGCAGACGAACTTGGTCTCCGCATTATTTCGGGCATCGTAGACCGTAGCGACGCCCGCTGGCCAGTTGTCCGCGTTCAGTGCGCAGCGGACACTAAATAATAAGAACAAAGAGACAAAATTTGTACTCAATTTTAATTTTACTTTTAAGATCATTATTTATCTCCTACCACGTCTTTTGACTAAATATTATTTTGTTTGTAAATAAAACAACAAACAAGCCAAAGAGACTGTCATTGACATGGTGGACGGCGCATCTGGCGCTTGCAGACTTAAAATTGAAGGCATCGGAGTGAAGCGACGGGCGGTTTAGGTGCACGCTGGTTGTACCCCGCGTTGTGGTCTGAAACCAACAGGGGGCAATGCGAATCATGGGCAACCCTGTGCTCCCATTCCACGAAGTGTTGATATCTTTTTTTTTTCTATCTGGACGTTTTTAAATAAACAAGGTGTCCAACACTTTATGACGACTTGTTGAGTTTTACCGGAAAAGGGAATATCGTAACGCGCCGTTTGGAGAGCGGGAACGTGCCGTTCTTAAGTTTTCTCAAAATTCACCAAATGCGACATTAACGTCAGAGATGTCGGTGATTGCTCACGTTCGGGGAAGGTGATGGGACAACGCTTGATCAAATGTAGCAGCTCCTGTCGATCGCTTGTAACAGTTTCTAGCTATATGAAATTCAAGGACGAGATAAAGTGAGCACCAATTTTTACACAACGGTGCAAATCAAGATTAATCAGTATTATCATTTATAAACAATTTCTCCGGAGGGAGGTTTGAGGCACTCGTTCTGAAGGGCTTTGGAGACATTTAGTGTTAATCTTTTTTTTTTTTAATATTATGCCGTGTCATTACGTATAAAGACGGGTTTCAGAGTTTATAAAAGTCCTGTGCTTTGGTGTTTATTTACTTTATTTTATTTACGTGTTATTTACATTGTTAGGGGAAATTTTAGCAGTAATCAACGGGATAGTTTTTCATTTTGTGCTAGTGGACCCGCCACTGGCTCTTAGACGTTTAGGTGTTAATTGTTAATCTGATTGGTTTACTCCTTACCTTGTGTGTACTTTTATACTAAATAATTCTAACGGTCGATGTTATTAAGTTAATATAAGTAAATTTTACTAACGGTTCTATCGCTACACAGAGGTTCTAACATTTTTGATGGTAGTAATCTAATTCAAGGAAAGATAAAAATTCTAATCGATCTGCCTTCTGTGATACCTATGCAATTACAGTTTTCGGTATCATGACGATGTTTTGTGAAAAAAAGCAGAATTGAAAATTTTGATAATGAGGCCTATGATATTCGATACAAAAAAACTTTGTGGAGATGAAGAATAACAAGTATGTGCGTCGAAATGTTATTTACTGATTACCGTAAGATTTCGAGAGATGCCCGGCTGCCGAAATGCAACCCACCCCTATATCTTGGCTTGATTTTCTATTTCCTTTTAAACACCGGAACAGAGTAAAATCCTAGTAATCGTAGTGTTCGGATCAAAGACGATCTTAGGGTAACTGCGACTAATTAGCTATGGCAGAATATAAGCTAACATTGCTGACTGGGAAGTACAATCATCTTTGCTTTATGGCCCCTCGCCGCGAAAAGTTTAACAAAGACATACAATCTTAAGATAGCATTTTTTTAACTTGTTCTCGATTGCACACACAAAGTGAGCCCAGTCTTTATTTTCACCCGATGTTTTCAGGGTTTTCGGTGCGCTATATCTGAAAATATTACGGTATCGATATTTCATGACTTTCATCTAAAATATTCCCGAGTCACGTTCTCATGTTTATTGTTGTTCAGTTTAAATTCTCGTCTTGGTGCATTTAGCAGAGTATCGCCGAGAGAGGGATGTCCAAGAAAGTTGGGGACGTGACAGCCTTGTCGCATTGGTTATGCAGAAAATGCCTGCAGAAATGTTCTCACCGTACAACTAGGCCTGCAATATATATGATTGAGACGTGTCGGCAAATAACTCCGTCGGCATGTAATCAGTGAACACCGTGTCTTTTGTATAATGCATGAGCAGGGTGACTCTAACTTTACTGGGCAGAGGCAAAGGCTAGCTGACCTTATCTCTAACCTTAGTCTCCCTCCAATCAGAGTGAGCGAGTGCGTCATCTACTCCTTGCGCTTGCGCAGCGTCTCGCGTTCGAACGCGTTTACCTATCAATAGAGATGGAGCCAGCTAACCTTTAAATGGACACTGCAAGGAAAACGCAATGATTTTTAAAAGACATAGTTGTGAAGCAAAATTTTGAAAATAATGATTGTACGAAAAATTATTTTTTTAGCGCAAGATTTACGCTTTTTGACGCCATTAAATTGCAGACGCCCCCCCCCCCCCCCCCCTTCCCATTGTTTACACCTTAATGTTGTCTGACGGCGTAAATGTTGGGCGATAAAAATGTTTTTTTGTGTGTGTAAACAATATTTTAATGGGGGTTGCAGCCTGGCAAAGCCCCGCCCCGTGCTTACTAGGTGCTTACATCTCTCAATGGCTAGAGTGATGACTGACGTGTGAAAGGTCGGTTCTAAATATGTATCTCCGTTCCGTAATAGTATTTTAATCTACTATTCATTCATGTTTGAGAAGCAAATAATCAAAAGAGAGTCATAATTGTTTTCAAATATATCCCCAGATTGCTTTCCCCGCTTTTGTTTGAAACGTTAACAAACACGGTTGCCGGCGTTGGCGGAGTACTGAGTGACCAAAGCTCGACGAGCACGTCAATTTTCATGCGTGCGAGTGGTTTTGTGTTCAGGGATGGTGTTTAGAGGAAGATCTCATCAACCGACAACGTTTGCAGCAAACAAGTGTCGGACGTACGTGCCTTCGGAAGCTCTGTCCAAAAGTTTGCTCTCGTAACGGGACTGGCTACGGTGCCTGAAACGCTTTTTCGACAGGTGTGTTTACCGCGTCCAAAAAAACTAGTCCCTCGATTTACGCCAGGTGACGTCATAGAAGTGTCATGCTGTCTCCAGTCGCGATCCTGGCGGCGTCCCAACAGCTGTGGCGTACGTGGCAGATGCCTATTGTGCTGTAGGTCGCTCCTCAGTGTGGCAGTCCGCGGAAACACCGGAAGCCAGAAGTTTGGACGCTGTGATGACTGCGACACTCGCGTTTGCTCGTACTACTCGCAGCTTGTCGTTAGAATTTCTACGACCCAACCGCCAGGATCACGACATGTACGGCATGACACTTTGCCTTCTGTGACGTCATTTGTTGCCAATTCTGGACCACTTTTGTTGTATGCGCAGCTTAGGACGCTAAATGCACCAGTCGAAGACGAGCCCCAGGCGCCATCGCCTAGCGTCCTAGATCAATTATTCTAAACAATCTGGCTTGATATATTTTTTTTTTGCCCGTGTTGATGTTGAATAAATATGTTAGTTTCCGAAAAAAGCGGCCCAGTTGCTTTGTGAATCGTACAAGCGTCGTGATTGCGACCATGGTTTCAATACCGAGTAGGTACCTACAGATATAAGAATTTGCGAGTTTTTTGGTTGGAAGCAATCGGGCGTTCGGTTCGCATCAAGTTTGTCTAAGTATACCCCCATCATTGCGCCTCGAAGGCAAGCTTTCAAGTTTTACGCAGTGCTCCTGGACTACCAAAGTGAAGAGTTTTACGTCATGTTTTAAATGTGCTTCCTGACGCTCACAGATGCCATTCGGAAAAAAAAAATAAATACCAAGAACCGTAAAGCTGGAAAGACTGCGTATTTATTTTGTGGATTTCTTTAGTTCTCTAGGTCGCTTATCATGCACATCTATAGGCTCTGACAGTCGGTTGTATCGCATCGTTGCTCGTGCACGATAAAACGCTAGAATGCCGCTTTCATAGTCGCGTCATCTAAGGGTTGCAGAAGACTTTTGACGTGAGATATATAGCAGACGGTCGGAGACGAAAATGGTCGCCAACGCGCACCTTTCGTGTCCCCGTCTCTCGCGGCACTGCAGACGACGATAGGCGGCTGACTGTGAAATAGCAGACGATGCCGGAGGCTGCCGCTCTTCTGCTCGCACGAGTAGCAGGCGGTGTTAGACTTCCAGATTGGACGGAGCGGATAACGCAAAAGGCAGCACCACGCTTGTGTCCTATTCAGTCGAGCAGCCAAGCCAGTCTTGTAGTAATGGGCGGGGATATTGATTTCCGGGTGGGGCAGAGCAGGCTGTTGCCTCCACCTAAAGCGTTGAACATCGTAAATATTGCGCAAAAAAAAAGTGGTTCTTCCGTGGAAAAAATATTTAAAAAAGATTCGACCTTCACAATTCTCTGTACAGCGAAATAAATGTACAGTTCTTAATAAAGAGGAGGGAAAGGCACGGAGGGGAAGGTATGCCTCACCTCCTTTTACGTACCCTCCCCTCCTACTTCCTTGCTCCTTCTTCCCCTCCTTTCCTCCTCAAATCCTCCTCACGTTCAGTTTCACCGCTAAAGTTTCCTCTAAATTTAGCGAAAATATTTCCCTCTAAATTTAGCGGGGAAACTGACGTCACGTGACTTCAACAACAATGCAATTTCCCGCTAAATTCAGCGGGGCGGTTACGGCGACGGCGACGGCGAATACCGCGAAACGCGGAAGCGGGCGCTCAAGAGCTGCGCTCTAAAACAACGTGTCCCATCTGTGCCCTTTAAAAAAGACCATATTTTTTTCTTGCAATATCCTTTTAAATTTACCGATTATCTTTCCAATCAAAGCTGGGCACTCCGAAATTCCCGCGCGCTCTCATCACCTCCTCTCCCTCACTTTCTCTCCGCATAGCATGCAAGGAAGTCTTAGGTGTGGCGTGAACTCACCGTCCTGTCACCGAGCTGCGCGATCCTGCAGCGCAGGAAGGCCGGCTTTCCCAACTGGGCCATTACGTTCCGGTTGGTGCTGAAGTGGGGGTCGTCCCAGTGGGCGCTGGGCCGCGACGGGGGCTCGCCACCCACGCCAGTCGAAGACAACCAGGACACGGCGCCTTCAGTTACTCGCCCTCCTCTGTAAATGGGGGCCGCCGGTCCCGGTCCCGGCAACAGGCTCGAGCTTGAAGACGAGCCCAAACCAGTGTCGAGCCTCTCGCTAAAGTTCCGCTCCGTGGGAGGTGCTTCCCAAAAGATAGCCTCTGTCTGCACCGGCAGCGAATCAGAGCGGGGGCCTCTAAAACATAAGAAAGAACAGCTCGGTGAAACCTTTTTTTGAAACGCAGTTACCAAACTCTTATGCGCAACTCTAAGCCGACAAAAGGAAAAAACCAGCACCAACAAGCCTCAAACACGTGCGGCATCTACGCAATGGTACTTTTGGCAGGCTTTTCAGTCTTCCAGGGCTGTTAAATGAAGCATGAGCATTTTTAAGCCTGGCAAAGATACCCCCGCGTACACAATGGTCCTTTTTGAGGTTTGTCAGTTTCGGCTGTTTCTCTTTGTTGCCCTAGTGGAACTCGGGTATTGTAGAAACAGACTAAAGAACATGTTTCAGCAGATCATAAACGTTCAAATGCCGAGAGCAAGTCGTCTGCTTCTTGCGCAAGGGTTGCAGTGACGTCAGTACGGCGCCGAGCTCTAATGGGCCCTAATTGAAAGAACAGAGGGTAGACCTCAATCCTAGATGCCTTGATGTCTAACCCACTATGTTTTTTTCGATCAGTTTATAAGATCTCGACGTTCTGACATCATGGCAACACATGTGCAAGAAGCAGACGAACTTGCGCTCCGGATACTTCCATTCGTCTCCATTTTATTTCTGGAACGGTGCATCACCTATAGACACTGACAGGGTGAAAACGGCAGAACGTCTATTTCCAATGCTGCGGCCTCCAGCACGAGCTCGGTGCCTTCCGTCGTGCTTTCTCTGCGCTCGCCCACTCGATGTGCTCGAAACACCAGAGCGTCGTCGAAGGTAAGAAGTTCGCTCTAATGACGGGACAACTGAAGCTCGTCCCTGAACTTCTCAGCTTGTCAGCCAACGTAGTCATACCTTTACGAAATGTCGGAAAATATTGGAATTGTTTATGGTGGAGCTATTGAGCTAGATTTTGTACAGACAGTACATTATTTTTTATGCCGTTTTTTCTTTAGCGCGGAGTGATTGAAACTTTTACTGGTTATGAAGAGGTTTGGCATAGCCTCTGTGCAACGTTTGAAGATATGGACCTGTACAGGTATACACCTGGGCACTACCACGTTCATGCACAGAAACACAGAGGTGGCGCATTTTTCGGTCTATTCAAGTCACACCATTGTGTAGGTCGCTCCCACCATAGACGTATGTTTAGAAAGAAATCCGGTGTATAGTCGCACCTTCTTATCAGTCGCTCTTACATATGTGCACGATCTGCGCGACCACAGTGCATTGAAAAGTTCGCATATGTGTGTTGTGGTTGCCATATTTTGCACGGGCGGGAGGCAGTTTCAACGTTCTCGTCGAAGAGTCGAATGAGAAATGTGACGACTACCGCGAATTTGACAGTTAACTTCCATAAACGCTTATAATTCGCAACGTTGTATAAAACGCACCAAATAAAATTTTCTAAAAAAAAAAAAACGCAACTTATGCATTGAAAATTGCGGTATACGAACATGTGCACGAAAATAAAAAGAACCACATATGAACGTGCATTCAAAAACGGAAGTACAGAAACGCGTCTAGGGCAGCACAAACACAAACCCAAGCTGCTGACACCTATAAGCGGACTGCACTTTCGTTTATCAAACGGTTTTCAAATATATATTCCTTCCTATTTAAAATTTTCCGCACCCTTTTCTAGAAGCCAAGCTTTGAGTTCGACGGCTTGCATATTTCAATTCAGCTTTTTGCGTAGTGAACTTCAATCATTATGGAAATTTTTACAGTCGTAAATAAACGCGCTTATAAAAAGCTATTCCTGTTTGTTTTTTCTTGCATCTTACTTTTATGTATCAAAAAATACCTTCACCAAAAAATTAAAAAAACGCCTCTTGATTTTATATTATTCTAATATGTTTCCGGGGCTTATTTTTGCTTCTTATTGACTAAAAAAATCTGTGTAACGTAAAGAAACAAAAAAAAAAAAGGCGTCGACCGACACCATCACAATATTGGTTGCATCCGTCAGAAGAGATTGGGCCAATTTCAGAGTCGTATCTAAACTATCGTCCTCGTAATATCTTTGATTCAACGCAAAATAAAACAAAAGGTTTTAAAAGAGCACACTAAAAAGTTTTGACAATTTTGAAGAAAAAAAAAAAGATAAGAAAGGTACTCTGTTTCAGCCTACCCCGACTTCCTGCAAATATTAGACAAAAAAAGAAGAGCAACATTTTAAAACTCTTGTCTTTCACAGCTTTATAACGCTTCTATGTTGCTTATCTTTGAAATTACAGAAGAACTTCAACATATTTTTTTAGAAATAAAAAAAAGTAAAAACTAGGACGAGTGAACAAAAATTAGAAAGCAATCGGGGCCAAGTTTCTTTTTCATTTCCCAATTTCGAAAGGCATATGGATAGCGAGAGTCTAGAACTCATTGGACGCCATTGGGACATTTTTGGGTTATATATTTTGGCGCACAGAACGGAGCTTCTTCTACTCAACGTTAATCATAAGCGAGAGTTATCATCCACGTTTTTGTGTCTTTATCTCATATCGTTGTGTTGCTGCTACTTCTAGTTGCATTAAGGTAAACCCTTATATAAATGTGAGCCTAGTCAGGACTTTCCTGAATTTAGTAAAGAAGAAAGGCCAAAGGAGAACTACCGCCGTGGTTTTTTGTTGTCTTTCGTTTTGTAAGAAAGTTCCTTATGTTGTCGAGTGTATAAATCTTGATTTTTAACACTTCAAAACAATCATTATAATTATTCGACATTATGGAGGGTAAATTTTTTTCTTTACCGTACGTCTGTTTTATGGTGCTAGCGGGGAAAACGCCAATCTTTTTTTGCTGACAAAGCAAAATAAACTTTACGGTGGATTCCACCGCAAGTATCTCGCAGAAGCGCTTGCTCACAAGCACTCTCCCTTGCAGTCACTGGGTCATGCTTAAGCACAACTGATTTGCCAACAAAGGATACGTGGCTCGTGTTCGAAAATTGTTGGTGTGTACTGTTTTAATGCGAAAACACTGAGACTCGCATACCCAGGCTTTGCCACGACGACAACCACTAAAACAAAAACCTCCCAGGTTTTCTTTTTTTTTTTTTTCCAGTGGTTTGCGGCTTTAACAACGTCGGCTCCAATGACGTCGGCTCCAAAAATGTCGGATTCTTTTCTAGCTGTTGGAGTCGACATTTCCCTAAGTGTTTTGACCTGAAAAGTCTAAATAACTTAAGAAATCTTCAGACACCAATCTAAAGCTTCCCGAAAGTTTTTTTTCTTTATTATTATTATTCTGTGTTAGATTGTAATGCTTTCTTTGTTTCGATTGCATTGGAAACAGTTTAAAGCGAGTAATTGAATTCGTATTTCAAGAGATTTTATTTTCTTACGTAAGTGTAAACTATGAAAGCTCTGATTTACTCTTTCTACAAGTAATAATTGAAACTAATAAAAGAAACGCCGAAAAATGTTAAATGGAAAAAAAATATATTAAAAACTTTGCGAAGAGAATAGGGGCGAAAAGGGAAGGTCACCGAGGCCGAGCAATAGCGAGCTTCTATAGAAATTATCTCGCTACGGTGCCTACAGACGCTATTGTTAGTCAAAATTCTGTAAAAAGAATGAACCAGAAGAAACACATTACGCCGAAGCACATTCCAACATATCTGTGTGGTGTTTTGAGTGTTGTCTCGTTTCTTGCTGCGTGCGTTAAACTCAGACTAAAGATGTTCTATTGTCTGTCGTTCGCTTCCCTGTGAACTTTAAATGTCTGCAAACGGAAGGAAGCTGCCGCTATCCGTTTGACCGCAGAAAAAATAATTTCTTTGTAATACGAAAGTCGGAAAGGGCCACGTCCACGGAAACGTCATCGTCTGACATCCGGAACGCAAACCCCAGCAGAAGCCGCCATGAAGGCGGCGTTGTCGATTTCAATGAGGGAATTGTGTCAAGACCCCTAGAGGAACCATCCCTGACAGAGACGGACGACGACCACGGTCCAAGAGTGCACAATGAACCGTCCCCGTCAAGTGATGATGGGAGAAGAGGGCAAGTGCGCCGCTTATATTGAGTAGGACAACCTCTGCCGCTTGAGACGACAGTGATGGCATAATTTCAGGCCTTTATTGAGATGTAGGTGAAATTGGACCGTGACGAGCGTTGTGGTTCATGCGGTGGAGCCGTGCTTCGTGCAGATTATGACATGCGGCGAATCTGACGAGTCAGCAAAAACAGACCCCCTAAAGACACGCATTCTTGCAGAGAATGCAACCTCGAGTCATGCCAAGCACTAACGGCTTAGGGGATGCGTTGGTTGGCTCCTAAAGTGGTTAAAATACATTCGCTGGATACAGGGCGGATTTATGGCTAAGGTTTGGAGGGGAAGGGAGCGGGGGTGATTTGCATTTTTTAAAGTTCCGCGGGCCAGTTATTTTTAAGGTATCTAAAAAGGAAAGTATTAATCGAGCTTTAAAGTTTGATACAGCTTAAAAACGCCCACACAATATTAATTAGCTACTTGTCCTATTTTAAAAACCCGCACTTGCTGCTTAAATGGTTCAAAAATTTTCACTATGAGTAGTAAATAGAGAGAGAGAGAGAGACATACGTGTGCATTGTTTTGTATTCTACATATAAATTGTGACTATCCCCATTTAAGCAACACAGGCTATTGAGCCATGCGGCGTGACAGGTTTTAGCAGATAGTCAATAAAGTAAGATATACCAATTTCGACAAAAAAACACCACGAAGACCGGATAAGAAAGAATTTGTTAACAAGACAAATGTAAGATGGCGAAATATTTTGGAGACTTCCTGATTCCTTGACGAACGTGATCAAAATGCCTTGTTATTTTAATTGTTCTTTTTGTAGACTCACTCTCGAAAATGCACAGTTGTTGAGAATGATTTGACGCGACGGAACTTTGAATATTTAGTTGGAATAATTAAACTCTAAGAGGAAAGCAGTGGGTGGGATTCCTCAGCGGCTTTACTCTCAATGACTTGGTGTTTTACGGAATATAGCCAAACAAAAATAACTGTTCGATTCTTTATGGTAATTTAGTGGAGGCGCGAAGCCAATAGAAAAGAAAAAGCGAGCTCAAAGTTCTTCAGCGGAGTGCCTAAGCAAATTGCATGGAACAGCATTAAAATTATTCATTGAACACGTTCATCTAAAGAAAAGAAGAAAAGAACCCCCTACATTGGAGGAGGACAGTATACAGCCATAATTATTTACACAATTTATCAAATTAAAGGTTCTTCACAGCACGAACATCGCCTTCTATCGTCGTGCTTCCTGCGCGTAGCGGTCTACCACCTTCTGCTGGTCGACGCTGACATCTCGATGGATGTTGAGGATGGCAAGACCGTTGAGTCGCATTTCGCCACACCGCCATCTAATGCGAATCATTATTCAGAAGGGTTTGGATTTGGGCTAGTTGGTTGAACATGTTTAGGGGTTAAAAGCGCTAAAAACGGCGGACGAGTAGGAGAGACACACACCACAGAGCGCTACTTGCAAGTGGTTTATTACCATTATTCAACGAAGCGTAAAGAACCGCTCAACCATTGCAACACTGACTGGCAGTATGGCGAGAACGCGTAGCAGAGTCCTGGTGTTGGGACACGGCTCGGGCTCCGACTCTTGAGGTGTCTCCACAGCCGTCGACGGAAGAGGCTCCTTCCCTTGTTCTCGTATTCATTTCGCCACCAACACAAAAAATTATGCTCCGAGTATGGTTTGCAATGCTGCATCTCCCATTCCGAGGAGCACGCCATATTTCGCTGCCAGGATACTGAGCTTTGCTCGAGCTTTCTTTCCTTACCAACAATTAGGGCTGAGTTTTGATTGAGCTTCTAATATATGTTTATAGAATACATTAGAAACTCAATTGAAACTCATTGATAATTTTTGTAATGGTTGTCATTCAGGTGGCGAGGCAAAAGTGTGTTGAGAGAATACACCTCCAGCACCTCCTCCGGCAAAAGCTGCTTGAGATCTTCCACGACGGATTCCACACGAGGACTGTATACATGTGCGCGGAAATATGACTCGGTTGTCTGTGGAGGCAACTTCGCGCAGTTCATCTGCCGTTGTACTAGTCGATGCACATCTAGTCGGGCTCCCATCTTCTCGGCAATGCCTTCTGCATGTGCAAAACATTTAATTGAAAGACTTTTCGAGGTTAAACGGATCCCGCTTTTGGCTCAGGACGACAATCGTGCCTTTCACAATGCCAGAGGCACTGTTTATTTTGAGATCCGGCTTCTGGAACAGCCGACCCAGGGGAAGCGGGACTGAGAGAACGACGTAGAAAGCTAGGGTTAAGAGGACGTGAATTTGGCATTTAGGACTGAAGTAAGCAGGGATCTTGCATTGGCAGCCAAGCTTTGTTCTCGCCTCTGGGGAACCGTTTATAATGGCTTTCAGATGATTACCAGGCTGTCTCGTAACTGAAAAACAGCGTCATGACGATCTACCCAACGTGTTTTAGTTCAAACGTCTTACGTCGCGCCGCAAAGCTGCAATGTTACGCTCTTAACTTCGAAGAAGCACCGCCATTCCTCGCCGCAGGATTTCGCGTCTGGTGAACTTGTCCAGTCATCTCTTTTACTTGGTTTCTTCTTTTTTTTTTTTTTTGGTTGAAATACCACAAGACGTTGCTAAAAAAAACAATTGGCCGAATCCTTTGCACTGTTTCGGCTGCACAAATCAAATTTGTTGACCAAATAATCACCCATTGACCAACAACGAGTTATTATTTCCGAAATATTTTTATCCTACTAAGGCGCGTCAGGGGGGGGGGGGGCGGTTCCTCCCTCTCCTTTTTAAATTTACCCTGACTGGGTAAGATTATCATGCAGTGGCGAATTATTGTTCGTTTGTCTTTCAAATTATATATATATTGTCAAAACGAATATTTTCTTGAGTGTGCTCATGCTGCATTTCTGACATTGACTGTAAAATTTAATTTTCGACATTATAACTATTTATTTATAACTAGGATTTTGAGTTTTGTGTTTTTTTGTTGTTATTTTTGTTTGTTTGGAGGAGGGGGGAGGGGTTCTCGACCAGTCGGTGTTTTTCAGTGTCAATTCGATATGTCGAGCACACAATGTTGGTGTTAATGGGGAATTATGTTTGAAAAATATGACATGGGCATGGGATTCCCAAACCTCAAAGAAACATGCTCTTGACCTGAATGGTTACAAAACGTCCTGGTACCAATGAAAATAAACGAGGTAAAGGGCGTCCTTTCGAGGGAAGAAGCAGCTTTCCAGGCAGTTTAGTGTGGCCCCTGTTCCCGTTCAAAACAAAATAAAGCTATAGACCGTTCGAGCAAGTGGTCTAAGGCATCATCATATTCTTTGACCCAGGCATTTTAACGAATTTTAAAGGGTGAAAAAAGGTGTGGGCATGATCCCCATTCTTCTAGCATACCGTTCTCAACGGTTGGGCCGCACCCGCGGACTGTAGGTTGGCTGTACCGAACCTCGAACGCTCGGTCGATGCTTCTGCTGAGAGGCGTTTCGCGATTTTTTTAAACATTTTTGGCTCTCCAGGTTTAGTCTATTTGCTTTGTATTTTATTTCAATCAATCATCAACTAGCGTATGTTCGTTCGATCGCTTCCATAGCTCTACCCTCCGCGCTCTGCCTATTGCGTGAGCAGAAAATAATATCCTCATTGTGAAGTTCTGAGTTTGAAGGGGCCTTGGTTAGTTTTTTTGTGAAGCACCATGCAGATGTAAAAGTTTTCTTACTCCGTGGTTAGAAAGGTTAAACCCCAAAGCGGTTGCCATTACGCAAGTGCGCGTTCCTAGTCATAAGTGATAGAATTTAGTTTGTCTGGGAAGAGCCGTCACAAATAACTTAGGTGCTGTCCTTTCGCTTTTTATGAATAACAACAAAGAACTTTTGCAAAAAGATGTTGCAGGTGTATCTGCGTCGTGGGGTTTTCGGTGGTGCATTGAACCCAATTGCGTCTAAATTAGTTTATTCACAAATACCACCTATGCGTAAACATCATTTTAGCGTTAATAAAGTCGTAGAAGAACGACATCAAATTTAAATAACATATCAGCAAGTCACAACGGAGAATTAAGCCGACTTAAAACAAAACAAAAAAAAAAAAAGAAAAACAAGCGGCTTAACTAGATGTCCTTCCGAATTCATCGTCCTTCAGCATCTC